TCTCTTTCATTTAATTATTTAGGAAGGTCTGTCTTCAAAAGGATACAATAGAAAATCATTGAAGGTATTTTGTGAGCAGGTCGGGCTGAGTGGATACCGTCTTTTTTAAATCAAAAGCAATAGCTTTGCAGAATCCTTAGTGCTGTTGATTGAAATCTTTGAATAGGTCCCTGCAGTCCTTACCTCAGGTGAAGACTTTCTATTAGAGAGGCAAATGTGCTGATTTCTAAACGGATCAGGTGGTAAGATGAGATAGACCTCAGAACTGGCAGTACTATATTACTTCTAAGCTGTCTCGCCAATACCATTTCAATATCTGATATCTGTATTTACGCAAGATGTTCTCTGGCTTCATCTTTCATGTGTGTGATGTGTGTGTTTATGAATGATTATGTGTGAGCACACACTGCGTCTGTATCCTGACAGCATTAATGATTCCAAAGAGAGGCAGAGCTTAAACCACAGGGAACAGCGGCACATCTCTTAAACCAATCCAGACAACCCAGAGCCTTTTGACCAAAGCAACATGCTGAATATCATTCGCCTCATTGGACAAACTGGGTACCACTGAGTTTCCTGCCAGCGCAGTATTAAAAGTCTTGCATGTGTGTGAGTATGTATCTATGTGCATGATCTGTTTGAATTTGTCTTGTGATGTTTCCTGTGGGTTTCCAGTGAATCAGGAAATGATGACAAACAACTATATGCATCCCCCAGTTTATGAGTAAATTGAAGGGAAAGTGACTCCCCTTGTTTTATTTAATAGCGGAACTTTGTGAGTCATCTGAAGTCTGAGTCAGACTGAAGTGCTGCAAATAAGCACGGACAAAACATTATGAAGCTACAGCCGTTCAATCAACAGAAATGATACGGTCTGTACTTTGATTACTCAGCCCCTTAGCTTGCTGCTGCTACGCTTTGAGTGCATTTGCACACTCAGACACATTTATACATAAAACCCACTCACACACACACACACACACACGCACACACACACATACACATTTGCAGAAGTAAATTTTTCACTTAGTTACTCACATTTGCAAACTCATTTAAAATAAATCCAATATGATTAAACCGCAATATGTCAGGAGATTAGATTACAATTGATTGATTTTAACTTGGAATGTATTCTGATTGTTGTTATGAGGCACACTGGTATCGCCTCAGAAACGGCTCCCTGAGATTTGTACAGCAGATGACAAGCTATGTCTCCAGCTACAGTCTAGACTTTTCTTTTTTTTTATAAATGGATACTTCCTTCAGATATAATTTGTCATCATCTCGTGATGCTTTCAGCAGCATGAAGGTGACTTCAGGTCAGTGCCCAAATGTCAAACCAATACTGTGGAAGCAGTGTGAAGAATGAGGTGAAACTCGATTTGAAGCGAGTGACATTATCAGGCGACGGATTCCAGCTGTTCTTCAGGCATCATTGTTTACAGTGTCACAACAGGAGACGGCAGTTAAGTCACATACATCCACACACATACTGTACATACACACAGGCAGGTATCTGTTCAATTTATTCACAAATCGGAGATGCAAATAGTTGTTTGTCATAATTTCCTGATTCACTTGAAACCCGCAGAAAACACCACAAGACAAAAACAACCACTACTCCATCCTGCAGAGATATTTGACTCTGTAGGAGTGGGTTCTTTCTCATGTTTCCAGCTAGATACAGCAGTTCCATATCCTACAAATGCTACTAGTGTTTTTAGCTATGCTCTGCTAAATTGAAGAATGGACAGATGAAGTGAGAGCTGCTGCTTAATGGTCACTGAGGAAGACACTTAAGCCCCCATCGTCATTGCTTTACTGTAATATAGCCGAACCAAGCTCTAGTCTCTGTCTTCGTAAAAATGAAAGGAGCTCTCGAAAAAGTCACAAGCTGCTGCTTTTGTGCGCAGTATCCGGGGAATAGTTGCTATTTTAACACAAAATGTAACAGGAAAACAACTTTATCATGCTGTATGCTGCTGAGAAGAAAACAGAAGATATACAGCACTCTGAGTGTGATGGCTAAGAGGGAAAGTTGCTGGAGACGAAGTGATACTGTTATGGTAGACAATTGACTTTCACTGTAGTACACAGTTTGACAAGTATGGGGTTTCATTGTCTCTGCCTCCTTTCTCCTTCTACTTTACAACTCAAATCGCTTTGCACCTCTGTAAGCCCTTTCTATACCAAGATTATAGTCCCACACCCATATGTAAATACATCACACTAGTCCGCACACAACAATCAAACACGTAAACTCACAAACTAGGACACATTCGTACACCCTAGCTGGAGACTAGCTGGTCTCAGTGATGCAAAAAATTTGAACAGTTTTCATTGCGTGATTAACTGGCTATACCATTTCCATTCGTCTTCATAATATACAGCAGATATATATTTAACACACAGACACAATTACTCAGTATAACTCAATTTGTGCTGCAGCATCATTGTTCTGATATTAAGTCATTGTTGCACTGCTGTGTCACTGCCAGCCTCCAGAATAATTCACCTCCAGGCCTTTGCATTGCAGCAATTCGTGTGAGCCAGGCAGCGGTTGTTTTTTGGCCCTTAATTTTCATGGAGCACTGCTCGACGAGCGTATAAATGACGAAAGTGAGCTAAATATGTTCTCCTTGCATCCACAACCAACATGCCAACACTGCTGCTTTTGTGCAGAGTTAGGAAAAGAAAAGACTGAGACAGAGAAGCATAAAAACCATCCCTACTGTGAGATAAATTCCTATCTTTCTCCCAAGTTTAAGTTTGTTTCTTACAGGTGGAGATAAATTAAAAGAAATATATGTTGTTAAGTGGAAGAAACCTCGACACTGCTGCCTTATATAACCTGTCTCTCTGATGAACTGTTAATGTGTTTTTATTTCTGTCTGTTTTCCATCCGCCCCTGTTAAGCTACACAAAAAGGGACGTTGAATAAAAGCATCCACCAAATGCATAACATTAAGTGTAAGAATGTAAACTGTTGGTTATGGTGCTATATTTCACACCAGACAAATGCTGTGTGCTATTAGAAGACAACATTGCTTGAAGTCTCACCCCAAAACACACGCGGCAGGTCATCAGATCCAGTGCGGTCCCCATTATACCAACACATACACTTGACTGCTCGGGTCAAGATGCTGAACTGTGGACTACGATAAAAAGCTTGTGTAATGAGCTTCTTTCCTTTCCAGATCTGACTTTGGTCTTTGATTGTACCGATAAAGTACTCAAACTCCAACCAGCAATATCTGTTTCATGCGCCCACGAGATGTGTCAAGGATGATAAACGAAAAGTCCTTTCGAGCTCTGACATGTGAGTTCCATTTGAAATCCCGACGACCCTTTCAACTACTTGTGTCTGAAGATCGGCTATCAAAAATATCCCCTTATCAGTGCAATATCTCCTTTTTAGACAGCATCTATCCACATCCAGTGCTGTACTATAGCAAAAAGAACTCTTCCACCAGACTATACCCCTACCTATGCTGGTGTCCTGTTGTACCTGTGACACTGGAGAATCAATTATAAAGCTCAGGCTGGTAATGAGGTCTCCAGTTACCTGATCCGATGACAAAGGGACAATATAGAGGTCTTCAATCTTTAATGCATATTCACCAAGCCTGCAGTCCCTGTCTGGCATCACTGGCCCCAAAAGATCCAGTGAAACAGACATCGAACTTGTTGAAATTATAACAAACTATACAATATTACTATTAAACAATAAGACAATTAATTTGAAATTGTATTTCACAGACTGAAATTTAACCTAATGGTTTGAAATTTAATTTTACTCTCTCAATTTATGAGTATTATTTCAATTTTGGTGGAGCTCGAAGTTCAGTTTGGAATTTCAGTTTCAGTTTTCAAATTCAGTTTCAAAAAATTTAATTTCAACTCACTGTGTATGGCTACATACCTAGAAAGGTGCTGAATTGAATTGGAGCTCGAGTACCTCAGAGTTGAAACTGAATTTTGAGAAAATGAATTTCAGAACTGAATTCTGCACTGAAATTGGACATAATCTTCACCAGTTAAAATTCTATTTCAAACCATTAGATTCAATTTAAATTTTCATACAATATTCAAATTGAACATTTCAAATTCAAAACTTAAATTCAGATTCAATTTGTGCTACCACTGAAATAACTCCAAATACATAATTTTTATCAACCATGCATTGCTTCATAGTGTCTGTCTTGTTTCAACATCTTTTTATCATGGACTGCCTCAGTGTTATGTTTTGTGTTCTGCATGTTCTATGGAGATGTGAAAAAAATATAACTTTGCAAATACTTATAAATAAAATATTTTGTAATCTGTAACTTGTGTGCTGTGTTGCTGTTAATTCTTGTAAAAAAAACACTGACCCTTAAAGGGCACTCCCTAAGGATCCCATAAGTGAGATTTATATTGTATTAGCATAGGATCTGATAACGGTAGCTGAGCTGCAAGTGGGGTAAGTAAGGTGGATCCAAATTGTGAAAAAATAACAAAATAATAGTAAAGGGAGGTAAGAGACTGTGAGAGAAAAACAGGCAAACAGAGAGTCATGGTGTCTTCATTTGAGAGCTGCTGTGAGTCTGCGTGATGGCATATTCTCACAGCGAGAATATGCCATCACGCATTATGCCATGTTCTACTAAACAGCCACGTACTGTAGGGATCACTTCAAATCCAATCAAGTCTGTCTAAGCCAAAGCCAAGGGTGACATTGTGCCATGGTGTGGTAATGCGTGTCTATGGGTGTGTGCCTGCATGGGTGTATGTGTGAGCATGTGTCCGAATGAATTCATGCCTTTGCTTATCGGAATATGTGAATGTGGAGATGAAGAAAGAAAACATTTGTAACTGGACCTGCCGTCCTACCAAAATGTTTGAATTGTGTGATAACATGGAATGTAGCCACTCATAATTGGACAGAAGCAAAAAAAGTTTTATTTTGAGCCAAACTCATACTTCACCTTAAATAACATGTAAAGAGGGATCAAACTTACAAACTTTCTCTTCAGCTTGCCCTTACTGCCACGGGTTGGCTTGCCCTCGACTACAGTCCCAGAGCTGTAGTCCGAGCCCATGTCCAGGTTGTCATCAGCTGAGACGCTCTTGCGGAGGTAGGCAGCTCGCGCCCGGAAGTGGGAAAAGGGTGACTGGGAGCGAGGGCGGGCCTCGGTGCACCGACCGTGCTGAGGCTCATCTTCGCCTTCCATGTCATCTTCCAAACGCCACAGTTCCCCTAGAGGAGAGTAGATGGGAGGAACAAAAGGGACACATGATCAGATTAGGGTATAGCCACGAATGAAACAAGAGAAGAAGTAAGAAAATGGAAAGAGAAGGGTTGCACGTAGAAGATATATGAGAGCAAGACAGATTGGACAGAATATTTGTTTCTACTGCTCAATTATTGCAAACTAGCACAAATTGCGGCCTGTCATCAGATGATTGCTTTCAGAAAATATTTCCTGAATGTAATTAAGCTTCCTTTTAAGGTGAAATATTTTACAACAACCAATTATTCTCAGCCCGCCTCCTTAACAACTCGTTTATGACTCCATGCGCTCGATGGAAATGATGGCTCATGAAAAATGCAGAGGAACAAATTTGCAGTGACAGTGGGGTTGTTCTGCAGCTCCGACATGATGGCTTTCGCAGTCACACAACAGAGATGGATGTGTACAGTCAGAACGCAGGCCAGCTAAACTAATCACAATGTACTTCCATCACTCTGCATTTGATGTTTGACAGACTTCCTGTCAGCATCCATCCAGCAACATCTGACTAACGGCACTCGTAAAACACTCAGTGGTCTTTAAGTTACTTGCAGCACTTGATGCATGCTGGCGAAGCTACAGCAATTCTGTACTTCAAGGTGAGGGACACTGTCAAGTAATTTACAGCAAATAATAAAATAAGTCTCAATCAGTTTTTTATACCATAAATACTGATATAATTTAACTAGCCTACATACAGCCATTAGATGAGAAATTTTCATTTTGTTTATTTGCCAGCTACTCATAAATCAAAATATGGCATGTTTCTATGCTGTAAAATTAAGCTCAGTGGAATGTAAATATAGAAAACATCATAAATGAAAAGAATGTATCATGTAAATGAGATATCTAAACCATGAACGAAAACGATAGAACGGTACACTGGAGCTGCAAATGTCTTGTTCTTAATTAACTTCACTGCTCTTACAACAAACTGAAACAGCTTCATTTCCATTTTCATGCCTTTCCATCTGACAAGGACTCAGTAGCATTTCTCAAAAATCTAACCTGAAGAACTGTAATGTTTGAAGCTAGCTACAAATGGCTAATGTTAGCTAACAGACAAATCAGTAAACTTTTGTTGGTGACATAATTATAATGGATATAATTAGAGGATAACTCATTACATGAGTGCAGCGATTCTTTTCTTGTTTAAAAATGATGGTTTTCATTAATGGTATTATTTTCCTCCTTATGGTTTTGGGTTATGTTCATGGTTTAGATATCTCATACAAATTTTCATTTAAGAAATGTTTTCCACATTCATATTCCACTGTGCTTAAGTTTGACAGCATATATTACTCTTTTAAAAAACATCACTGATATAAAGTATTAAGAACAAAGACTTAGATTTAGTTGTTGTCTATCATTAAGGGCTTGTATTAAAAAATCTGTCAATCAATTTGAGACTGATGGCCTTGCTTTTTTTACTGTTGGATCATATATTATAGTTAAGATAGAGCAATAAATACAAATATATGTTGTCTACTTAGTGTAAGACAAGGGGTCGAGCCAGTGGAATATTGTAGTACCCTTGTTTCTGAAGTTATACTTTGTGTTTTGTTTAACTTGTGTACTTCAATACACATCTTAACCCTGAGCCTTGTAATGACATCCCTTATTAAATGATTTCAACAGCAGCTCTTTTGGCAGAGACTGTTTTTGTGTGTGCTTATGAATGATCTTCAGAGTGTGAAATATGACAGTATCAGTTCCACTGTCTGAACAGCAGCCAAAATGCATCTGGCTTTCGTAGTTGGGCCAAATAACACTGCAACAAAAGGACAGGGGAGCAACTCCCAATGCGAGATCCAAAGCATTCTTGTCACTAATACGGGATGTTGTTAAAATCCGTGAAGGACGTGTGCCTGGGTTATTGAACAACTTGAATTAAAAAAAAAGTTTTCTCAGCACAACTGGAGAGATTAAGAGAGAGAGGGGTAGACAGAGAGAGGCAGCATCATGGTCGATGACAGTGGTTGCTAGGCAACAAGGGGCCACGTGAGACTGAAGTCGCTCTCAATTTGATATTTGCAACAGAGCAGCAGTGGGGCGAAAGGAAGAACAGGCAGAGAGACAGACTCGGACAGAAATTCAGACTCAGAGAGGTAAAGTCAGGACATCAAATCACTGACAAGTATCAAGTCCAGGATCATTAAAACAGTAGTAACAGTAAAGGTTTATTGCATAAGAGCTGTGAGGTCTGGGCTTGGCTCTTCTACCAAAATGGGTTTGTTGAGAACATAACACTTTGACAGATCAAACAAGGGAGATGGTGGGACAGTAAAAGGTAAAGAGAGCTAGTCGAAGGGAGGGAGGGAGCGAGAGAAATAAAGTCTCTTGCCGAGAGATTAGTTTTATTAGTTAATTATTATTATATCATGTTTGCCCCTTCAGCTTTTATTCATTTAACCACTGCACACTGTTTTGGTGATGAGTAATCAAGGAAGGGACACAATTAATTATTCTTAATATTAACTGAATCTAAACTAAAGTCAAATGTGCCCTTACATGTTTGGCACTTTGGCTTTAGGAGGGGGAAAAGGGCAGAAACAGTCTCCAAACATACCTTTTAAGCTAAATGAATTGCCACTTGCTATTGGTGCTTAGGGATGGAAGATTTACTTTTAGGTCACTTTGATAATCTGATAATTTATAGTTTATTTATGGTCAACATTAAATTTTGGGCGCATGGTGACTGTGTTGTTTGATTTGTTTGAAGTCGGTACCTCCTGTGTTGCTGCCTGTCTCTCCGTGAATCCAGTGGGACTTCGGTTTATTTCAAGTAGAAGACTTTGCCTTATTTTAATAAAAGTTTCTTTCTTCTGATGTTTGCCGTTTCTTTTCTGGCTTTGCATAATAGACACATTTCTTTTCTCTCAAAAGAGTGCGGTTTCGGGACGTGGAGGACTGAGGTTGTGTGTGCCTCACGTGAAAGCTCTGTGTGTGTCAATGGACATGAATGAGGAGACAGGTGTGTAGGGATGCTTGACCTGAGGCATGTCCTGCTGTGATGTGATGGTTGTTGGCTTGCTGACGATTATGAAGTCTGGCCAAGTCTTGAATGTGGTGTTCAAGGGTTATAGAGAAGATTACTTTACAAATGACCCACTTTGGAAAATTGTGAGAGCTGCTAGAAGCAGAATCAACTGATGTTAAATTATCCACTGAGAAATTATGAATGTATTAAAACACACTGTATGTAGGTCACTTTTGAAACTGTTAAAAAGCAAGCTCAAGCATAATGTTTCATACCTTTATGAATATTTGACTAATTCTTGGCTCGATTGTTTTGTTTATACTAGTACCTTCATTTGTGTTAATTTATTCAGTGTTAATGTATTAACATTTTTTATTTGCCATTTGCTTTATTTAACCAGGAAGTCCCCTGAGATTAGGAGGGAGGGGGACCTGACCAAGATAGATAGACATGTTTTGGACATCTGGAAAGCATACCAAGGCCTAGTGTAAGGTTTCCTTTCACGTGAAATTTTCACCACCTAGCCTATAAATGTTTTCATCCTTGAAAAAACACCTCACCCATCCATCCAGAAGATGAAAGATATCTCTGTCAGCAGGTTACAACTTGAGGCTTCACCATGACAGTTTTCCCTCTCAAGTGAAGACATGGCGTTTGATTCATAAACAAACGAGACATACAGTGATTGTTGGCAAATGAATAAGAACCTGCTGCTAAAGCTAAAGGGGCTTTCCTTTCCCTACAATGTAAGTCAGACAGATGCAGACATTTCAGGATGAAAAGAAGGGTTTTGAGCGGCAATGCCATAATTGTTTGCTGAAGTACATTTGGGAGATTTTGGAGAATTTACTCAGGCTTTGTCAAAATCGGATTAGTGATTTGTCAGAGATATTACTTAAACAAATGAATAAACACACAAACAAAGGATATGGAAGAATCACACAGATGCAGTCGATTCAACAAAGTCGCCTGATATTTTTTGTAAACAAATGCTCCCCCCAAAAAAAACAGTAGTTGCCAAATTCCGTTTTATATTTACCTGCAGGTGGCAGAGTGCAGCCCTTTGGGTGGCTGGTGGCAGCAGCGGGCGGGTTCTTCCTGCGAGGAGGACTCCCACCGATGAAATCCGAGTGATGGACCCTGGACACAGTAGGAGACTGGGGGATGCTGGGGAGAGTACGGGACTTCGCCAGTAGGGGTCTCTGCAACTTCCTTTCCAGTGACCTGGTTAGAAAGCATAGACAAGCAAATAGACAATTACATGGGAGCGTTTTGTTTCCAGTCACTAGCAGCCAGTCCATCTATGGAAACTACTATTTTAAAAAAATCTATATTCTATATAAGCGCTGTTCTAAACCTTTTAAAATCTGTTCAACCGCTGGTAGATGGTCTGGTGGTCTGGTGGTTTCTGTGGAATGTCTACTCTTTCCATGCTTGCACATGGATGTTTGGTTTATGTCACATGAAGTAGTTTTTGGCAAATGTAGAACAATGGTTTTGCTGTAAATGACTCTTCCTTTCTTCTGTATCTAATGAAAAGATACTATTGGTTGCATAATGGCTAGTACAGTGTTCCTTATTTAAGGCTCAGATAACCTTTGAATACATTTTTGCACCGAGAGAGGGCTGCAGATGGTCACTTCCATTGGAAACATAGTAAGAAGGAATCTTTTAATGGTCGGTGTGAACCTGGGAGGGATGATTCCAGCAAGGCAAACCTGGCTTCAAGTAGCTATTGTTTTAAGACAAACATGGACATTTGTGAACTTTTCCTTTAAGCTATCCCTGTGCAATACAATACCAACACATGTACGCAAACACCCACCCATACACAAACATTGGTACGCACACACAGCTTACTGTTAATGAGCAACAAGACAGCAGCTGTATTGATCATTAGTGTAATTACTTCCAACTCAGCATAATCAGTCTGTAGGCCATTTGGAACACGACCAATAGAAATGGCTTTCTTTGATAGCAGTTGATACCACACATGCTCCAGTGGGACCCCAATCAATAGCCACAATCACAAGATCAGCTTAACAGCAAATTGGTGACAAGCCACTACACAGTCAAATAATATGCATATATCAACAGCTTTGTCTTAAGGTGGCCTTTGTATTTAAATTGTATTTTCAAAGAAGACACAGATGAGTGTTTTTTTCCCTATTACTCAAAGTACAAACAGAAACAACACCCCTAGTTTTACCGCAGTATCATGTCATAGCCATACTTTGTTATGTGTATTTAAGCAGAAAAAAATATATCAGTCAAAACATCTTAGGCAAGTACACAAATCCTAGATTGCCAATATCACATTACATTACAACAGATGTGGTTAATATTATATAAAATCATCCCTAAAATCCTTGTGTCTCATGTATAATGCAACAGAGATAAAACCTGAACAAAAAACCCCAACAATACTGAGTTACTGCAGCGAATCCTCCTCCAATGCCAGCTCTGATCAGCGTGATGTGATCAGATTCAATGAAACGTGGCCAGCACTTCAGACATCAGAGTCTGTCTGGCAGAAGTGGAAGATGTCTGACTTCCCTCTTTTTCAAGTTTAGGTGCAGAACACATGATCTGAGGCTTGAAATCAGTCAGGGACGTGCAAGCTGAGCTCCCCCAGGTTTGTGTGTCCTGACATTTGCAGGGTTTCAGCCTTTGATTTATGCTGAGATTTATTTATTTAAATTACTGAGCTGAGGTTTGTTTTGAGGTTCGTTTGTCTTATTCTGATTTAGAATTAGACTATGATTGCATATAAATGTCTCATATGTGGCGAAAAGGGCTTTAATACTGGTAACTGTGGCAAAACAATTTCACGTCATTACCCAATGAGCATATTTAATCAAATATCATCAGCATTATCTGACGTAAGCCACCCAATTCCATATCCTTTGATCTATGCATGGAATCATATCTAATCCATTAAAGGCTTGACTTACAATACAAGATTATTAATCATTAATTCAGCATGTAGCATCATTCAGTTGTATATGCATTACACATTAAATTGCAATGTTCTTAGTGCCAGCATGCTTTTATAAGCTACTTGTTTCATTTTACAGACAAGTGCTCCTGAGTAAAACTCTAAATCTGCCTGTGTTCGAGTGAAATACTTCAGTTCTCTTTAAACTCTCTCAGATGTCTGGCTCAGGATGTGTTTTCAGGCTTGGGGCTATTTATCACCAGGGAGCTATCAGGTGAACCGACAGCCAGTTCTATGTCAGCATATCTAAAGGCTTGAGAAGCACTGACATACAGTATGCCCGCTGTCAGCTAGTAAACGACTCCCCTGATAGAGGAGGTGGGTGTTGCAGTTGTGAATATTTGACCTGGGATCAGAGAATCCCTGAATGAGATTCAAAGCAGAGACGTGGAGGACGCGGGACAGTCTGATGATGAATGATGCTTTTGTAGTGCTGAAGATCAGAGGAAGAGCTGGTAATGGCTGTGTACATGCAGGTACACTGTAGCACACACACATACACACTTTGATGGTATTAGAAACAGGCAGGTCTCTCACTTCACAGCAATCCATACTGACTTGCATGAAAATAAACATTTGCCTGAAGCACACACACAAGCATACACACACATCTTACAGTTGGCATAAGATGAAATATCTCAGGGTCCATCGGTAAAAACACATGCATACACATACAACCACACACACACACACACACACACACACACACACACAGTTGGTCTCCCATCAACACATCATGATGATAACACACTGGGCTGAACAGCCGGCCCAGGCCACTCTGACAATTTGTGCCTCAATCATCCTACAAACCTGTTGCTTAGCGACTCTGTCTATAACAACAGGGGGGGGGCAGGAGAGGAGAGGAGAGGAGAGGAGAGGAGAGGAGACTTTGACTTTTACCAATACTTTATTGGCACAACTACATAATTTAAAAAACCATTACCTAATCATCACAATACAAAAGCCAACAGCTAGCTAAAAGACAGACATAAAGACTCCTGATCCACCGAACATAGCACATCTTTTTCACCCCAAAACGTCACAAATTTATCCACTCTGTCAGTCATTTTTGCAAAAGCAAACTCCACCTTTAGCCGGGCCTCAACCAGGCCTTTGACTATCAGCTCAGCATCTCATGAAGCCAAACCTTTACCCTTGTTTTTTCTTGATAACCATATAGCCAGTTTAACTTGTCCTAGCAAGAAGTTCAATATGCTAATTTTCTTTTTTGAGGCAGGTTTATACTTAAGACCAAATATGAAAACACAGTCATTAAAATCCTCACTTAATCCATAAACCATTTTTTTTGTTAAGGAGAGAACCCTGTTTAACCTGGGGCATCTCAGCCACAAAGGCTCCAGAGTTTCCTCCTGGGAGAGGCAGCTCGTGCTAGTTGTGGCGTCAATGTGTGCCACATATCTGTTTGTAGCCACCGCCCCATGCACAATCCTCCACTGGACATGTGAGTGCGTTTCGCGATGGGGGCCTTATACAGGGACCTCCAGCTGCCCCCGCCGGGAAGAACCCGGTGCAAACACCTTTGACCACTTTAATTCTTTCAGTTCTGCCAATGCAGCCAGGTTAAGGACTTTAACACTTGTGATGTACAGCGTCTTTCTATTTATTCCACTGAACGTTCCACATTCCGCTGCTTTAAGGGACATTAGTGACCCTCCTCTCTCCTTCCAATCTTCAATAGCGGTGAAACCTTCAACTCAGGGAACTCCTTCTCATGAGTGGCCTCCAGAGGGTTTTTTCTCTCCCCAACGCTGCCCTAATATGACCAGGGGGTGCCGACCTGACCTCCTCAGTAAGTGTTTCAAACAGTCGGATTGATTTTATTCCAGTCTCAAGACTCATCTCTTCTGCGGATTTCCATCGTCCATTGGACAACAAATCAGACAGCTTCAATAAACCTGCTTGTTTTATAACTCTCTGTATGCTTGGCGAATTCAGGAGTTTGCTGTTGATGATGAAATTCAAAAGAAGCGGTTCTTCTCCAATACTCCCATAAGGTTGTGTTCCATCTCCATCAAAAGCACTCTACTGATATCTAACAGAAAGAGGAGCTTATCATAAGTTAGATTCGTAATTCCTCTTAAAAGCATGGCAGCTATCTCCGTCCACAGTATTCTTTTCTTGTATAGCAGGCATTGTGCTGACTGTAAACGAAAAGCCGCAATCCGACTGCGGATTGTCTATCAGACCCTGACCACCGTCTGCACCGTCGGCAGGTAAAGTACACCCTCAGGTGGTTCTAGAACAGCAGAACAGTGCCAGAGCATGGAAGCAATCAGATTGTTTGCAACCAGAACTCTTCCCCTATAAGACAGCTGAGGCAGGACCCAGGTCACACACCTTTTCCACAACTCCCTCCCTGTTTTTCTTTTGGAAAAGTTCATTTCCCAGATAAACACTTAAGAGCTTTATTCCCTCTATGTTCCACTCCAGACCTGCAGGAAGTCTCGGGGGTCCTGTACCTTCCCACTGGCCCAAAATATAGCTAGAGCCCGAACGATTTGCTGGACGATATTATCGGCCGATATGAGCTAATTGCATTTAATCGGCATCGGCCGTTTATAACAGCAGATATATGACTATTAAAAAAGAAACACAGATTCAGATACTTCACTCATGTCATGGGTGTTGCATAGTTTGCCCACCAGAGCGCGCTGCAGCTGTTAACTACACTGCCTCACAACAAAAACCACAGAAGAAGTTGACCGGAGTCTACTGGCGCCAGCCTGCAGCATGTAGACACACAGAGGGCTGTGTTAATATAGCTAACTATAATCAGAGCCGTAACGTAATCGTAGACGGCATGATTTAGACAGAATGGTGGTTAAGAAATGGTTTCACGTAGCTTTGGTTAGAATTAAAGAGTGCTGGTAAAGGGATGAACTTGATGTGAATGTGCTACATTGAAATTATGGCAGATTATGTGTGAAGTGAAACACACATGATTATTCTCTCTCACTGAAAAAGTTGCACCTTCCAGCAGCAAATACCTAATGATGTGCAATTGTTTACATGTTCACTTTTTGAGACTGTAATCGATTTTATTAACATCGTACGAGCGCTACATCCTTACACAGACAAGCCAGTTCAGGACTCCACCATGAGTTAGGGTTTGTCTTCAGTCCGGACCAAAATGGCATAGAAGAGACACTATCTCAGAGTTACAAGAATACAAACGGCTAACAAAGGTTTTATAGCCCACATACAT